CGTACGACTCTCTCTCTCTCTCTCTCTCTCTCTCTCTCTCTCTCTCTCTCTCTCTCTCTCTCTCTCTCATGAGGAACCCTAGGAGAACCTTCTTTTTAGTCATATCCTAGCCCTCCAAATCATTCTTATTTAACCCAATGGGAGAGTAGGCCAAGTCCTATTATATCCTTGTCCAAGAGTTAAAGAGTTACCGAAGGAGAGGATTTTAACATCTAATAGGAGGATTTTAATCTTAGTCCAAAAGTTAAAGAGTTACTGAAGGAGAGGATTTTAACATCTAATAGGAGGATTTTAATCTTACTCCTTTATTCTCAAACCAGCCATCATGATCTAAGAATGACAATTGCCCCATTGTTCCTAGTTGCCCTTATTATTCCAAACAGCTGTACATTCCAATTCATAAAGGATACCAATATAAAATCCTAAAAACTTCTAGAAAGCTAATCCTTTCTTTTAAAGAACAACCCTACTGAAAGAAGAACTCATGTTACCCTATCAAATCTTTAGAGGATTTTAATAACATTCTAAAACAAACAAGAGAATGTAAATATTGTGTGGTTCCCTTGTCCCATCGGAGCCCATTAAACAATAAACTCAAAAATAGAATTAGGAGAGGCTTGTTGATGTGGGGCCCATGACCAGTGGAGCCCACATCATTCTCCTTATTTTAGTTCCATGTGGGCCTTCATGGCCAGTGGGGCTCACTACACCTCTTTGCAAAAAATGTGGTTACATTTGGGTCAAATGTGTGGCCCACATGTGCCCAGGACAAAATATTATACCCCCTTTGAGAGGACAAAAAACATGTTGGGGTTTGTGGCCTTTAAAAGTCGTGTTAGCATGTAAAAAGGAATTTATAATGGATTATATGTTTCAATGGGAATGTGTGTTGTTTGACTGACCAAGGCTTAAGCGGCTTATAGCTCTTGTCTTGTCCAAAACCCTTACCCCTAGGCATGCGGCACTCCCTTATTGAGGTCGGAGAGATGCCCAGGGATGGTTTATAAGCTAGGAAAGTTGTGCAGTCTCCTCTGTGTGGATGTAGTCCTGTGAGTGCGAGGGCTAAATCCTTGACAAACTATCGCACAATATACACATATGACAACCACCTTACTGGGAAGCAACCCTAAAAAAGGATACGTGTACATGCGCATAAAGAAAGTTCCCTATGCACTACAGTAATATGTGCTTGGCTTGCTCTTATGGGGGGGGCGGGGGGGAGACCTATAATCCGCATATTTCGAGATCGTGGATCCATTGTTTATTGGTGAGCTTTGAATAACCAATTATGAGTCCCTGCATGAAACTGTGGATCATCAATTTCGTTGAGTCGGTTTGAAAAGACAATTGTGCATCGTACTCTCGAGGTAGGGCGGAGAGCCCCTATAGTCACTTGTTTTGACTCACTCGTGTCAGTCCAATTCTATTTTTTTTATTTTCAATATTAGAATTGTTTCTGTGAATTTTAGAATTTTTTTCAGAATTTTTAAAATTAATTTTTGCTGTAAATTCCTTAGAAAGGGTAATTCTGAAAATATGGAAAAGTGTAGTGGCACATGTGGGGCCCTTGGATCCAGCCACACATGTGCGCCACACCCCATGGCTGGGGCGTTGGGCCCATAGGACCCACATGTCACCCATAGGGAAGGCATGCCCCTCTCCTCTTTTGAATTAAATGTTGCGTTAATTAATTTGTTTTTTTTTTAAGATTAGTTAGATAAAAAAGGAAGTTCTAGAAGGTTTTAGGGCTAATACTAATTAGACTATAAGTGTATATGGGTCAAATATTAAGGGGATAAAGTTCATAATATGCCTCCCTAAATCATGATGGCTGATTTGTGGGATGGATGGCTCAAATTTATTTCTCTCACCTCACATATTTCCTAAATTCCTATTACTCAATGTGAATCATTGGATAGGCATACATGGGTGTTGAGCCTTATATAGGGAGGTGAACCCCCTTTCTCATTACACACAATTGGAGTCTCTCTCACTCCTCCACGCCCATAGTTGTTGGAGGTGGGAGTGGGATCGGTTCGGAATTCACCGAACCGCATTATAGTGGAAGCTCCCTGGTGTTGGGATCGGCATCCATACAATGAACAACACAAGAAGCGAGATTCTTAGGTTTATGGGAGAGAGATCTGATGTAATTGGGTTCGATGTTTTGACTAGCAGAAATCTAAGCTCCAATATACAAAAAATGAGGTTGTAAGTAGAGCTAGTACGAGTTCCCTTGATTAAGGAATCGAAGTTTAAGTCTGTCATATACCGGGGTTCCTCCTGTTCAAATATCAGAACTCTTAAAGTATAGGAATCAAGGTCAGCTGATTGGCCCTGCGGTCTGCAAGTGCCATTTACCAGGGATCCTTTAGCAAGCGCCCCCCGCCGTTAACAATGGATTTATTTATTTTTGCGTAAATAATAAGGGATTATTTATGTAGCTCTATAAGTCAGTCTTTCTTGTGACCAATACATCTTCAGGCCATGACCAATACATCTTCAAGCCATGACCAATACAACCATATACACCCCACGCATCCCTGTGGGTCTTCAAATATTTATTTGTTAGCTCCACGTCTTTCTTAAGTAGTGGCCCTTTAAGCTAATAAATAGATGGAGCCTTCAACCCTGCTCCAAACTAGCCCATTGCTTCCAACATAGCCTGGAAGCTACTGAAGTTAGCAACATTAAAAAAAATGCCTACTTGGAACAACCACCTCCCCACATATTGTATCTCTATCTTCTTTCTTAAAATGGGTCTCTAAACTTTTTTTACCCTTTTCTTGTGGTAGTAGCTCAAGATTAGGGCGGGGGAAGAAAGATCCATAGACCCTCTTGTTTTTGGCCGACTAGAAGATCCAACCTCAATATAAATGTCTTCTTCCTCTTCTTGAACTCCAAAAATACCTACACTCCTTAGAAGTTCATCATGTCTTTTTCTCACCTCCTATTTCTTGTTTTTCACCCCCTCCAAATGCCTTATCATCTCTCTCAGACACCAAGTGCATGCGGCCACATCCCCTCTAATACCAGCTAAATCACATATTCGAGGTTTTTAGGGAGTTTTAATCTCTCTAAGAGCCACGAATTAGGTTGTGTTAGAATACCCCCCAAAAACCTTTTTCCCCCTTTTTAGGGGCGGGGGGGGAAATTACTAATTTCGACCCTAGCCAAGGGCATTTTTCTGCCCTCGACAACCTGCATCGAGGCAACGCCTAGGCGGCCGCATTTCTTGTAGCACCTCGGCGGCACCTTGCCTGCCTACGCGGGCGCCTAGACGCAAGCCGCTTAGGTGCCCCGCCTAAGTTCCGCCTAGGTGCCCCACCTAAGTTCCGCCTAGGCGTTTTAGCAATTTGGCCACCTAGGCGGCTGGGTGGCCGAATTGTTGAACATTGACAATAGGTATTCAAAATTGGAGTCTGTAAAAAGTCAAAGCTACTGTACATTCTGAAAAGAAATATTCACTTTAATAGATGGTCATCAACAACAACAAGAGTTACCTGGCCAAGAGAATTAGTTTCTAATGATGATAAAACAGTGCCTTTAATGAACTCCACTCCTTTTGAACTGTAGTAATCTTCATAGAAAGCAGCAATTGTAGGCGTAAATAAACGAGCCACTGGAGAAACCAAGATAAAAGAAGAATAAGAAATATGAAGGATCTCCGACAAGTAATTCGAATAAAATTTTTCCATGTCAATGGGAGATCAAAGTTCATACCAAATCATCTTTTCATTCGGAATGCAAAAATAACAACACAATTGAATTTTGAAATAATAACAGAATATGCACTATAAGAAGAGCATACTTATATGTTCTTCTGGGAAGACCATGGTCACACTGATTTTATTTGTGACAAGAGATGCAGCACATTCCATGCCAATGTAGCCACCACCAATCACAACAGCCTTTCCACCAGCAGCAGACTGCATTACATTGACGAGTCTAGATGCATCAGCCAAATTGCGCAGGTAACAAACATTTGGAGCATCAGAACCCATCACTCCAAATTCTTCAAGCTTCAATGCCTATATATAGAACAATTGTTAGTCATCAAGGAGATGCCAAAGGAATTACAGAATTTAGAGTATTCCAAAATTTTAAATGCATAACTGAAACTAGAATACAATCTTAGTTCTGTCTAGTTTAAAAACTATATCATCAACTTTTAATATGAAATAATCCATACCCGAGCACCTGTTGCTATGATCAGAGTTTTGTAGCTGATAGTTTCTCCTGATGATGTCAAAAGTGTTTGACGCCTCACATCAGCAGACATTACGCGAGTTCCAAGAACCAATTCAATTCCTGAAAAGGAAGATCCAGATTCTGATTATTAGCAGCTGCATGGAAGAACATCCAATATGGCCTTTTCAATTCAGGATTAAACTCAAAAGAATGTATTTATATCAAGATCCACTGTACTCAAATATGCCACAGTCGGAGAACCAAAAAGAGAAGGGTGAATACAGCATTCTCATATGTAACTAGCCTGTGGAACTACTGTTTATAAGCCAAATAAGAAGAAATAACACTATCTATAACAAAGTCCTGCTTGAAGAGTTAGAATAAACTATGCAACAACTTATGAGCGCAAAAAAGGGAGATCTGAGACAACAACAATATGCAAGTCTTATGGCAATGACTCAAAAAAACAAATAAAAAAAATGAAAATTGCATTGTTTGGAGCTTCCAACTTAATATGGTTCAAAAGCATATACGTTTACAAGGCTTTTTCTAATATTCCTATTCCAAATTATCGTACAACTCTTGATAAACTATCAAGCGAGTAAAGAACATCTGCCAGTGTTCAATGACAAATTCATGATGATAAAAACCATACATGGTCTGGTTGACCACTATGGTCACATGAATAAAGAACCAGTAACTTATAATTCAGAAATCAGATTGACAAAAAAGTATACAAAATAATTGATTTAGAGAAGTTCTAGTTGGCAAGACAAAACTGAACCAAGATAACTAGCTTATGAAAATAAATTAAAATTAAGGGCATGTTTGTTTCGTGTAAAAATATTTCTCGGGAAATATTTTCACATAAAAGAGTTTCATCATGTGATTAGCTGTGGGAATATTTTCACACCAATTAGTCTTACTGTATTTTTTTACACTAAGGGTATGTTTGATAACAGCGAATCCCTGGGAACATCTCCGACTTTCCCCTCTACTGTAGCTTTTTCCCATTTGGGTACAGTAAAAAAGGTGAAAGCCGGAACTTAAACATTACCCATTGCAGTGCTTAAATGAATAAAGTGGCAGCCCATGGGTAACCCTTCGCTGCCACTTTCTGGGAAAATTCACGAGACAAAAACGACTGCTCTCTCTGTCTCTCTCTCTCCACCATTCCTCTCCCACAATGCATGGTCTCTTGCCTCCAGGTCTTGCACTCCCAGCGCAAATACCTCTCTCTCTCTCTCTCTCTCTCTCTCTCTCTCTCTCTCTCTCTCTCTCTACTCTACTCTCTACTACTACTACGTACTACTACGTACTACTACTACTCTACTACTCTACTCTACTACTCTACTACTACTACTACTACTAACTACGT